TAATTATGTATTTCGCTTCCAAATTATCATTTTTCCAATGTTCAACCAATCCTGTGTTTAACAGAGCTTCCCATGAATGTGTTTGTGCATGCCTCCATACTAAGTTTTTCCTTATACTTCTAAATCAATATTTTATCAAGCTCTCTAATCCTGTACTTTATTCTGCTTTGTAATCCTGTTCTTTACCAAGCTTCTCAATCCTGAACATAATCAAGCTACCTAATCCTGTACTTAACCATGCTCCTTCATCCTGTACTTTACCAAATTCCTTATCCTGAACTTTACCATACTCCCTAAACCTGTACTTTATCAAACTCCCTAAACCTGTACTTTACCAAACTCTCTAATCCTGTACTTTACCAACCTCCCTAATCCTGTACTTTACCACCCTCCTTAATCCTGTACTTTACCAAACTCCCTAATCCTGTACTTTACCACCCTCCTTAATCCTGTACTTTACCAAACTCCTTAATCCTGTACTTTACCAAACTCCCTAAACCTGTACTTACCAAACTCCCTAATCCTGTACTTTACCAAGCTCCCTAATCCTGTACTTTACCACCCTCCTTAATCCTGTACTTTACCAAACTCCCTAATCCTGTACTTTACCAAACTCCCTAAACCTGTACTTTACCAGGCTCCTTAACCCTGTACTTTATTATGTTTCCTTAACCTGTTCTTTACCAAACTCCCTAATCCTGCACTTTACCAAACTCCTTAATCCTGTACTTTACCAAACTCCCTAATCCTGTACTTTACCAAACTCCCTAATCCTGCACTTTACCAGGGTCCTTAACCCTGTACTTTATTATGTTTCCTTAACCTGTTCTTTACCAAACTCCCTAATCCTGCACTTTACCAAACTCCTTAATCCTGTACTTTACCAAACTCCCTAAACCTGTACTTACCAAACTCCCTAATCCTGTACTTTACCAAGCTCCCTAATCCTGTACTTTACCACCCTCCTTAATCCTGTACTTTACCAAACTCCCTAATCCTGTACTTTACCAAACTCCCTAATCCTGTACTTTACCACCTTCCTTAATCCTGTACTTTACCAAACTCCCTAAACCTGCACTTTACCAAGCTCCTTAACCCTGTACTTTATTATGTTTTCTTAACCTGTTCTTTACCAAACTCCCTAATCTTGTATACCAAGCTCAGTCCACCTGACCAGCTTTTCTGGAACATTAACCATAAATTACCAATAACTCCTTAAGGTATGATCCACCTAATGCATTACCTCCACTTTAAAAGAGTATTCAAATAGGCTAGAACAACTGTCAACTGCATTGTAACTGAGGGGCACGGTTTCAACTGCCTCATTAACCATTATCAACAACTCCTTACAAAAGATTAAAAGAATATTTAGTTGAGCTACCAACAGTATAAAGAGCCTCGTCAGACTACTCGGTTGCGCAGACCAGCCTAGTTCTATACTGGAGGCAAAGGCATAGCATTTAGGTTCCAGCAAGTTTAATGGGTAATGGAATAATCTGACTCACTATGTAAAGTTTTCACTGCAACCTCTTCATCTCCTTTAACATCTGGAAAAGTGAGCCATCCCTTAAACACACTTCCAAAATGACCTGAAATCAAATAAAATTTTATAAAGAATAGAGCAAACCTACAGAAAACAAGAGGGCCATGATGGCCCTGAAGTCGCTCGCCTGTATATAGGCCCCTGGAGCAGGGCCAGTTTAAACCCGAGGGCTTTTATTTGAACAAACTTGGTAGACACCCATTAGAAGATGTTTCATGCTAAACATCTAAGGCCTAGCTTGTTGGGTTTTTTAAAAGAAGATTTTTCAAGTTTTTTCTTTACAAATATAGATAAAAACAATGACACACCTAGGGCAGGGCCAGTTTTGACCCCAGGGCTTTTATTTGAACAATCTTTGTAGACACTTACTAGAAAATGTTTCATACTTAATATCTAAACTCTTGCTATTCGGGTTTTTTCAAAGAAGATTTTTAAGTTTTTGCTATTCACATAAATGGAAAATTAATGTCCCCGGGACGGGGCCAATTTTGACCTCGGGGCTTTTATTTGAACAAACTTGGTAGACATTCACTAGAAGATGCTTCGTGCTTAATATCTAAACTCTAGCTATTTGAGTTTTTTCAAAGAAGATTTTTTAAGTTTTTGTTATACACATATAAGGAAAATGAATGACCCCCGGGGCCGGGGCCAATTTTGACCCCAGGGTTTTTATTTGAACAAACTTGGTAGACACTCACTAGAAGATGTTTCATGCTTAGTATCTAAACTCTAGCTATTTGGGGTTTTTTTTCAAAAAAGTTTTTTTAAGTTTTTGCTATACACATATAAGGAAAATCAATGACCCCCGGGGCAGGGCCAATTTTGACCCCAGGTCTCTTATTTGAACAAACTTGGTAGACATCCATTAGAACATGTTTCATACTAAATATCTTAGCTCTAGCTCTTTCGGTTCTTTACAAGATGATTTTTTAAGTTTTTACTATATGCATTTAGGGAAAATCAATGACCCCCTGGGGCGGGGCCAATTTTGACCCCAGGGCTTTTATTTGAACAAACTTGGTAGACACCCATTAGAAGATGTTTCATGCTAAATATTTAAGCTCTAGCTCTTTGGGTTCTGTAAAAGAAGATTTTTTAAGTTTTTACTATATGCATATAGAGAAAATCAATGACCCCATGGGGCGGGGCCAATTTTGACCCCAGGGCTTTTACTTGAACAAACTTGGTAGACACTCACTAGAAGATATTTCATGCCAAATATCTTAGCTCTAGCTCTTTGGGTTCTTTAAAAGAAGATTTTTTAAGTTGTTACTATATGCATATAGGGAAAATCAATGACCCCCTGGGGCGGGGCCAATTTTGACCCCAGGGCTTTTATTTGAACAAACTTGGTAGACACTCACTAGAAGATGTTTCATGCCACATATCTAAGCTCTAGCTCTTTGGGTTTTTTAAAAGAAGATATTTAAAGTTTTTTCCTTTCGGTTGCCATGGCAATCAGAGTTCTGCATGGAATTAAATTCTTTGAACAATTTTTAAAGGTGACCACCAAAGGAACATTCCTGTGAAGTTTGGATGAAATTGGCTTAGTGGTTTATGAGGAGATGTCATTTAAAGCAAAAGTTTACGGACGGACGCCGGACGAAAAGCGATCACAAAAGCTCACCCTGTCACTGACAGGTGAGCTAAAAAACTGGCATAATCTCAATACGGTCTTCTGTCTAAATACCAAGTACCATCGGCAAACTATTTGTACTTTTTGAGTTATGGCAAGATCCAGATTTCAATGGACAGACCAAACGACAGATAGAGGGCGAACCTACAGTTCCCACCAGTTACCAGTAGAGGATTAAAAAAACTTGACCTTACCTGCTCCAAGAAGTTCCCCCATCTGTAAGAACTGACGATCAATAAGAAGCTTCTGGTCCATCAGTAACAATTTTGTTTCCTCGTCAATGCCAGTGCTGTATGGGCTAGTTTGTCCTTCATTACCTTGCTCGGCATATGCTGTAAAAAATAATCCCTTATTAGTCTATTTCTGTGCAATACTAATGACAAATAAATAGCTCTAGTCCCAGCATATATCTTTCACCAAGTTTATACTTAAAGGTTTTTTTGTTGTTTTTTTTAAAATTAAGAAAGCAGCTAAGAATTGTTTTCTTTTAAGTATAACAACAAGTAGCCAATGAACTCTAGTGAAACTTTTCAAAACAGTTTCGTGCACACATTATTCAACACCAGCATTTTCTAATTTCAAACTTTGCTTTCCACAGTTTCACTATAATAAACATTCATCAAAACGAGCAAAAATTTCCTATTCTAATAAACTAAACACACAATTTGAAGAAAAACAAAAACCTTTACCATTCTGTCTATTCTGATCCATTAACCTCTGACCTTCAGCATCCACCATACCCTGACCATGTACATATCTAAATCTCTCTTCATTCTTATCTCTAAAAGGCCCCATTCTCCGCATCTTCATTACGATCAGTAATGCAATGATTGCCAAGATGATGAGTACTAGGATGACAATAAGTGCTAAGATGCCAACACTTAACGAACCTTCCGAAACCTCTTCTTTCATTGTATATTTCAGGAATCCAACATCATACACTAGATTTTTTCCAATCCGAATCTGCAAGTAAAATTTATCATTATCTGCCAGTTATTGTCAATGTGAATTCATGCAAAAATGCATTACTTTTTCATAAACAAGGTATTTCCATTTTCAATCCATGCAAAAATGCATTATTATTCATAAACAGGGTATTTCCATTTTGAATCTATGCAAAAATGTATTATAAGTTCATTTACAGCGTCTTTTTTTTGTGCAACTTCATATCAAGTAGGAGTGCCATGGTTAGAAAAATGTTATCCATTTCAACAGCGACCTTATAACTGTGTAAAACGTTTAAATGACTGTACTTAAAAAATCCTAACATACGAGAGTTGTCCCAATATTCTGTGACAAGATTGTTAAAAAGCTAAATAAAATAGGTACGAATTTGATATTTCAATATGTCATAAATCCATCTCATTAAAACATTTTCGCAAAACTAAATAGAAAAATATAAACAAACAACAAAAATATGCCATAAATACCATGGCAACTATCTAAATTGCAGCGCACATCAAATGTCAAAGACGGCGTGAAATCTATATAAGGCGCCTTTCTCAAATACTCTCAATGGCTTTCAACACAATAATGGTGCAGCTGTACCAATAAATCGTCAAATACAGACTTAAACTAGAACTGCCACTATCTTGGCGTGAATACCCCCGCATACCACTTTGTCAGAATCAACAGTGGCCATTTAGCGCTCAAGGACAACCTCCCTGCCAAATCTGAGGTTACTAAGCCAGTGCATTGCTAAGTTATGTATTCTACAAGCTTAAAATGTGAAAATGTCAAAATCAATACATTGCGGACAGGACATTCTTTAGCAATTGAGAAGAAAAGCTTTTTTTGTCAAGGTCCCTGTGACCTTGACCTTCGACCCAGTGACCTCAAAGTCAATAGGGGTCACCTTATAGTCATGATCAACATCCATGCCAAATATGTAGACTGTGGGTCAAAGGAATCTTAAGTAAATGGGTGGACAAACTTTTTGAAGTCAAAGTCCCTGTGACCTTGACCTTTGACCTGGTGACCTCAAAATTAATAGGGGTCATCTACTAATCATGACTTACCTCCATGCCAAACATGAAGACTGTGGGTCAAAGGAATCTTAAGTTATAGGGCGGACAAGCTTTTTGAAGTCAAGGCCCCTGTGACCTTGACCTTTGACCTGGTGACCTCAAAGTCAAAAGGGGTCATCTACTAATCATGTCTAACCTCAATGCCAAATATGAAGACTATGGGTCAAAGGAATCTTCAGTTATTGGGCGGACAAGTTTTTTGAAGTCAAGGCCCCTGCGACCTTGACCTTTGACCTGATGACCTCAAAATCAATAGGGGTCATCAACAAATCATGACTAACCTCCATGCCAAATATGAAGACTATGGGTCAAAGGAATCTTAAGTTATTGGGCGGACAAGCTTTTTAAAGTCATGGCCCCTGTGACCTTGACCTTTGACCTAGTGACCTCAAAATCAATAGGGGTCATCTACTAATCATGACTAACCTCCATGCCAAATATGAAGACTTTGGGTCATAGGAATCTTAAGTTATTGGGCGGACAAGCTTTTTGAAGTCAAGGCCCCTGTGACCTTGACCTTTGACCTGGTGACCTCAAAATCAATAGGGGTCATGTACTAATCATGACTAACCTTCATGCCAATTATGACGACTGTAGGTCAAAGGAATCTTAAGTTATTGGGCGGACAAGCTTTTTGAAGTCAAGGCCCCTGTGACCTTGACCTTTAACCTGGTGACCTCAAAATCAATAGGAGTCATCTACTATTCATGACTAACCTCCATGCCAAATATGAAGACTGTAGGTCAAAGGAATCTTAAGTTATTGGGCGGACAAGGTTTTTGAAGTCAAGGCCCCTGTGACCTTGACCTTTGACCTAGTGACCTCAAAATCAATAGGGGTCATCTACTAATCATGACTAACCTCCATGCCAAATATGAAGACTAAGGGTCAATGATATCTTAAGTTATTGGGCGGACAAGAAAAAACCGACGGACGGCCGGACGGCCGGACAGCCGGACGGCCGGACGGACAAGCTGATTCCAGTATACCCCCCTTACAACTTTGTTGTGCGGGGGTATAATTATGTGGTTGTTAATGTCTGTGGAATGTTTGGATGGCATACATTAGTTTTTGCTATACCCGAACTTCCTGTTTTTGTTGCACCTGTTTTTAGCTGTAGGAAATAGGGGACGGAGATCGGTTTTCCTTTTCGTGTTTTCCTTATTTTTGCTTTTGTAGTGCAGAACTCTGCTTCTGTTTATGCCTTTAGTAAACAAATGCTGAGGAAATATTGCAAAACTGTTCTATTTGGTATATTTGTTGAAAATCGTAACATGTGACATCTCGAAATAGTCACAAAACCTGAGTGACCTGTTCACTGCGCCCCAAATTCTTCAAACCTCGCCATTTTAACTTTCCTATTTTCTATGAGATATTTGCATTTATCCGTTACTTTTTTGTTAATTAAGTTATTTAACTAAAATTTTCTGAGATGATGTAAACATAGCAGCAAAGGAAGTCGACATGACATTGTGCAGACACATTATCAGATAATTGAAATATACGTAATTAATTTGGGCCTATTCATAACAAAATGCAAATCATTTGACGTGCGCCAGCAACACAAACCAATGTCGTTAATACTGAAAATTTCTAAGTAACTAGAAAAAAATTTTTTGTTAATGATTTGTTATGTTAAATAATATATTTAATGGTTATATGTGTGAATTATTAGCTAATGGCGTTAAAAATGAACCTTCTATAAAATTTGTCACAGACTTTTGGGACAACCCTCGTACTTAATATAATTTTTGGGGTTTTTTTTGGTACAGAATATGACATTTTGTTTGTATTGTGTTGTACTCAAAATTATAATCATATATATCCGATTTTTAGCAAATATTTTCCGCATAGGTCGTATAATATTGTACTAGATCAGATCGGAAAAAAATACATTGCTGAGTAAAACTGAAATACAGAGATTTTGTATTATCTTGTTATAAAACAATAAGGTTATATGTAGAATCAATTTAAAACTTTTTCACCTCTTTGTCAAAAACTAATCTAGATTACCAATTATTCAATTTTTTAACCGGTTTTCTGCTAAAAAAAATGACCAAATCCATTTTAAAGGATAAACGTTACACCCCTAATATCTGGGATTGACTGCAAAACTGTTGAAAGTCCTTCTTAACTTCATATAAGTAACTGCAGTTTTTTTAGTCAACCCTAAATATACCCGTTATTTTTATCTAAATCAATACAAATTTTTCCATCTACGACAGACTTAGAATCTACAAGAAAATACAATTGACAAATTAATTTTTATTGATGTACATCTATATATCTGTACACCGATCATACAAAGAGGAGACTAACCTCGACAGCTTGTTGAGGTTCATTTGCAACGACTCTTTTCGGTTTATTTGGTATGCACTTGATGACCCTGTCTGTGAGGGCAGACACATTACATCGATTTCTTCCAATGTAAATTACGTAGTCATGCTGACTTAGACCTCTTGTCAGACCTTCTCCCTATGCAATACAAAAAATATAATATTATATGATAAAAGTCTTATGTTGAGGACTATATATAGTTTTTCGGATATTTCAGCAGTCAACATGTGTTTCTGGAGCATCGTGATGTCAACCGTCATCAGCCAATCAGAATGGCACTTGTATGAACTGTATACATTATAATCATATCAATTACATTTATTCTAGAAGGAAAACATTTGAATATTTCATCTTTACCAGTTTGTTATAAGGATTCTTATTAGCCCTTGCAGCTTGGGTTACATATACGAGGGATGATCAAAAATAAACCGGACTGTGACTGGCAATTGAAGAATTTTCATCCTATCACTTATTGTTATATATCACACTTAATCGGAGAACAATACCTGTAAACTGATACTATATCTAATCTGATAACGCAAATAGCTTGTCCGTAACAGCGAATTCAAAAACCATGGTAACGCACACCCGGCGCAGTGCGTAAATTCGCCTTGACATGAGGCGCTTTATGCTGCGTGTATTTTACAATATGGCACATTTAGATTTCAAAATATGCCAAAACGTTATGTACCATATCGTTGACGTTTTCAGTAAAAATGACTTAATTAAAACCATATTTATATTTACAATCACAATTCAAACGTCACATGTTAATGAAATACTCGCGTTAAAACTATGTCGCCGGAATGTCTCGAAAATCGATCAATAGGAAAAATTTGTCAAATGTAAGACGAGAAATTGTTTAAAACGTAGAAAGAGATTATGGCTATCAAGGGAAAAGTTCCAGAAAGCCACAGCATATTTTTTGATTAGCTTAAAAGATTAAGAAAGGATAATAGAGAAATAGAAACAAGTAAGGGAGAGACAGAAAAAAGACATTTTCAAGGACGTTGGTGACGTCAATCGCCAAGACGTTGAAAAATGACAGTCGATTGACTGCGGACATTGTCAACGATGTTCGACAGTAACTACGGGACGGTGCAGTCAACTCTGAGGATCTTAAAATGATAATAGTTAATGCATTAATTACATGTATTGTATTCTTGGTTTACAATTGTATCAATTAATTTCTTATTTTACGCATTAGTCTTATGGAGAAATTGTGTCAACAATTTGACAGCCACTGTTCAAATTGGCTATGCGTTTTTATTTATTTTAAAATAATGACAATTTTGATCATAGTTGTATTATTCTGTTATTTTTTCGTATGTATGATACATTATCATTCAGCAACATTAGTTTACATTATTTGTAATACATAATATAGTTAATTGCATATGCGATTTTTTCAACAATCAAGTTGCAGAAGGAAATAACGGAAGTTTGCGTCATTACAGGAGCTCTTTATCAACATTCATTCTATTACAATACAATATGATACCCACTTGTACAGAAATATATATAGGCAGGGGATCCGCCGCATCAATAACATGACTGTACCATATATTGGCCTACTCCGAGAATGAGTAAAAATCTGCTCTGTTAAGGCCAATACGCTTGTGACGTCGTTAACGTCAATTTTAAAGTTATACCGTGCGCCGCATTGCTTTACATGTGCATGCCAATAAAAGCATAACTTTTTTCTTTGTTGATATTTCTTGCTGGTATTTTTTGTATCATTTAGGGAATAGATTCCGATTTATTTTCCGTGTATTGTTATGTAAATTCATTTAACAGGTTAAGAATCATTTACAAAGTCCGGTTAATTTTTGATCATCCCTCGTACAAACAACTGTTTTTGTTTTTACATGTCCATACTGGCAAAAAAATCTTTATAACTAAGAATACAAAATTGCCATTTTTAAATATATATTGTACTATTTTGTATTATATTTTCATTTTTTCAATTTAAGTCCATCCTTAAAAAAAAAGTTTGTTTGCAGTAACTCGACCCAGAATTTTCAAGGTGGGTAGGTAGGTCGATTTTTTTTTTAATGAACTGTACTCCCAAATAAACATGGAATTTCAAAATGCTGGACAATATATGCTTTGATTATCTGGTAACAATTAATAGATTGATAACTGAATTCTAATTTAATAAGAACTACATTTTATTTCTTCTATTACCTTTAACAGAACGAAAACAAAGCACAATGCATAATTTTCTGATTCAAAAAAAAAAATTTTTTAACCAGACCATGAAAAAAAATTTGAGTAGGGGCAAATTTTGTGAGTCGGTCGCGTTACTGCAAACAACCATCTTTTTAAAGATGGCCCTATGGTGCCTTATTGCCATACAGTTTGAGACAAAGTGCAGGGATCAAAATTGTGCAGATCATAAACATAAAACAAATCATCCTTTTTCTCTCTCCTACCTTTATTTCTAAATCATCTTCTTCAATATCGAAAACCCTCAAGAATTCCTCGCCATCAAATTTAGTCACAACAGGGTTTGGGTTGTAGATAAACCTGTGGGTAGGTTTTCGAAGTTTCTCTATACCATCCATAGAAAAGTATACAAAAACATGTGTAAGTGTGCTCTGATCCATTGACGTCATCAACGGCAGTATATTTGGCATAGTACACGTCATTTCTTTACCTTCGTCAGCCTCATTTACAACACATTCCTGGAAGTAAAAATCATTTTCTAATATCATTGAATGCCTGACATTATTGTTTGTGTACCAAAGTCTCAGAACGTATCTATTACATGAGAACTTAATAAGATAAGATTTTTTCAAAAACAACAAACTAAATAAAATTAAAAATATACCTTATGTATCGGCAAAAATTTTACCTACAAGAACAAGCAAAGAGGGCCATGATGGCCCTGAGTCTCTCACCAAAAACAACTGCTTTTCAAAGTTGGAAATTATCCATTGTCAATATTTTCTGATATCTAATTTGAGCATAGAATATGTTTAAATGCCATGACCTGGGGCATTTAAGCTTAAGCTTAAACGACCCCAATCAAATTATTATGAGCAAACTTGATAAAAGACTACCCAATAATGCTACAAAGTTTGGAGATCATCTATCAATTATTTCAGACAGTATGAAATATTCAAAGGTTTTTATATTTTTGGCTTAAGTGGCCCCTATAAGGGGCCAATCAAATTAATATGAGCAAACTTGATAAAAGCTTACCTAAGAATGCTACAGACAAAGTTTGGTGATCATCCATCAATTAGTTCTCTCAGTCTGGATATAGATGTTTAAAGGTATTTCTATTTTTAGCTTTAGTGGCCCCTAAAAGGGGCCAATCAAATTAATATGAGCAAACTTGATAAAACACTACCCAAAAATGGTACAGACAAAGTTTGGTGATCATCCATCCATTAGTTCTGTAGAAAAATGTCTACATGTTTTTCTATTTTTAGCCCTAGAGACCCCTAAAAAATTCGATAAAAAAAACTACATGTACACAAGAATGCTATAGACAAAGTTTGGTAATCATGCAGCACTTATAAAACTCAAGCAAACTTGATAAAAGACTACACAAGAATGCTACAGACAATGTTTGATGATTATCCATCCATTAGTTCTGTAGAAGAGGTGTCTAAATGTTTTTTCTATTTTTAGCCATAGAGACCCCTAAAAGGGGCCAATCAAATTGATATGAGCAAATTCGATAAAAGGCTACCCAAGAATGCTACAGATAAAGTTTGGTGATTATTTATCAATTAGTTCTGTAGTAGAAGATGTTTAAAGGTTTTTCTATTTTTAGCTCTGTTGACCCCTAAAAAGGGCCAATTAAAATGACATGAGCACATTCAAGTGTGACTGTCACAAGGACGCTACAGACCAAATTTGAAGTAAATCTGCCCACTGGTTTCAGAGAAGAAGACGCATGACAGTTGACGTATGATGACGGACGCCAGAGTATCCCCTTTGATACTAATAGCTCACCCAGAGCCTTTGCTCTGGTGAGCTAAAAAGTATTTAAATAAGACTTTGTATTGTACTTTCTTTACCTCTTCAGTCATTTCTCCAGTTGGTAGTTGAACACCAATTTTTGGATGCTGTACAGTGTCAAGGTTTGTACCGTACACTTTTACCTTGGTCCCCCCACTGTGGACTGTACTTCCTGGAACAATCTTTGACACTGTGGCATCATTTTTTATACTCGTAGGGTCTGTACTGTGGAGTACAAGCGCCATCTATTGTCAATGTAACAAAGTCTTTCTTAATGGCACGTTTCCGTCTTCCAGATGAACCCAACAGTAGGGGGCCTTGTGGTGATTTGCACAAAATCACTGTTCTATTTGAGCTGTGAAAGTTAAGGGAAGAAAAATACTTTTTTGAGCTATTTAAATGGTACATAATACACAAAATACAATTTAAACTTGTTAATTGTTCTTTTTCTATTCAAAGAAGTAATTCACTAATTTACTTGACAATGATATTTACAATGAGAATTATGTCACTTACCTTAATTGTAATTTCAAATTAGATTTCTAGGATAATGCTTATCTATATACTTTAACACTAAATAAGCAAATGTCAGAAATTTTCCCCCTATTAATTCATTGCAGCAAAAAAAAAATTGCCTCATCCATTTGAGGACATTAATGAAAACATAATATTATAAAAAATAAAATATACAGATTCTACAGTTCCTGCTTATAAATCTAAAGGATTAACAGGATTACTATTTTTATACACTTGAAATATGGTCTTTGATTTATGATCTAGCTTTTTAAAAGGTTTTTTTTTCTCCTATAGGGGTATAAAACTAAATAGCCTTATCCACAATTTGTAGAATATTTATTTGCTCACTGTATCTGGTTAAAACGATTATACCAAAGAGCAAAATTTGCAAGAAAGAACCATGTCTAAAATTTTGAGATAAAACAGAAGGTGCATATAGAAAATAATCACCAATAGCAGCTACATATTTTGTAAGTAAATGTTTTGTTTCTTATATAATTCAGATGTATTGAAACAATTAAGGTACATTTTGTTAAAATTCTTTTCAAATATTTTTTTCGTAATTTTTGACTGGGTCAATCAACAATAAAAAGATCATATGGCAAGTTTCAAACTTAACTGGTGGAGGAAGACCCAAGGTGCCATCTGTGCATTATTTCAGACATGAAAGGGCAATTGTGTAGAACCAGGGCCAAAACACCATTTTTGGGGAAGGGGCCTCAGCCTTTTTCTTGGGGAAAATATGCGTGATTTTGGCATACTTTGGGAAAAAGGGTCTCAAATTTAACAAAACTTTTAACAAGCTCTTCAAAATAGAAAAGCAAAAGCACTGGGAAATACAAATAAGGCAGTAAAAACCCTTAATTCAACACCATCATTTAATTTTGTTCTAAATTCTATGGGAATTTTCAAAAGACTGGGGATTTTTGAGGTCCAAACTGGGGAAAAAAGAGGCTAGTTTGGTTGGGGAAGTAGCCTATATTCGGCCTCTACAAAGAAGGGTTTTTAAGCCCTGGTAGAACCGTCAATGTTTTGCAAGCAAGCCGGATAGCTTTCTCAAAAATCCTAAGTCCCTTACTGCATTTGAATCAACAGCTGTGAGGGGTGAGTGGTTTTTTAAGTTAAATACCTTAACCACTAGGCCATGACCTACCCCCCCCATCCCATCCCCATCTTTTTTTCCAAATATAACAGTAATCATATGAGAATTACATGACTGTACAGTTTTAGAAAATTGTTTACCCAAAACCAGCTGAATTTTTGTAATGGATTTGTCCTGCCTTGAATTTGGAAGAGTCCTGTTTAAGTGTATAATATTATATTTTCAAAATTCAAAAACCAACAGTATTGAGCCTGAAAACACTGTAGTACCCAGAGTTCATTCAATGACATCCAGACATCTAATGCCAAAATTCAAGCACTTTTTGAGCACTTTTCAATTCAATCACGTTTTCCCATTTTTCAAGCACAATTTGTTGCACATAATCATATCATTTGTAATCAATGATAAAGTCACTTTAAAACAGTCATAAAACATTGGTAACTTTATTCTTGCCTGCTAAATAACATACATGGTACATTCAGGGCTCTAGTATGACTAGCAAATTTAATCTACTCTCATTGCATACATGCAGTTTAAGGGCCATTTCACCCATATTTTAAATGTCAATATTTACCGACACTATGTCATTCAATCATTTTCATGCCTATCTGCAGCATATTTAAACACTTTTTCAGGAGAGTAATCAAATTCAGGGACTTTAAGCACTTTTTTTCATTTTAAGCACTTTTCAAGAAAGGGATTAAAATTTAAGCACTTTTTAAAACTGTACCAACCCTGTGCAGCACGGAAGTGCAGGCTTGACTGGCTTTGTTCAATTCCAGCAGACTAAGGGTTAAGCTTTAATTGAAACATTACAAAAAATACCTTGTCATATTGCACAGTTTGGTGCCAATATGCACTGATTTGTTGAGACCGACATTGAAATTATCTCCTTCTAAGGTGATAATGGTCCCTCCTGAACGTGGTCCATACAACGGTGTAACACTATTCAATACAGGTTTCTGCAACATTAAATAACAGGAAATATTTTGAGATAAAAATTAAATATTTTACAGTGCATAAACACTATTCAGTTGACAAATATCACAAAAGCCTAGTCTGAAAACCCAGAATTAAGAATTACTTGAAAAATTTTATGATATGACTTAAATTAAGCCAATACTCACCCTGTATTCAAATTTCATAATCTCTGTTTCTGCAGTTCCATCAACCTTATAGTTCAACTTTTCACCTGTGAGGTCACTGACCTCGACCTTGACAGTAAAGCTACCTTCCGTTGTAGATGCATGTGTTGAACATTTGATTCTACAAATAGAAAATATTTTCTTTAAGTAATTTAATAAAATGAGTCTTCTGTTGGCTACAGGAAAATACCCATCCAACTAGTGCATGTTCTGCACTATCAGCTTCAGGAATTACCAATGTGACTAGAGCATGGTCTACACTGATGGGTACAGGAACTATAATGTGACTAGCACATGACATACACTGTTGGCTACAGGAACAACCTATGGGACTAGAGCATGGTCTGCACTGTTTGCTATGCAACTGGTGCATGGTTTGCACTGTTAGGAACTGTATACTGCACTTCATCTCAATAAGATGTAAACAAGTATGAAGTTTTAGATTGATAACTGATATAATTTTAGTTTGATGATCACACATAATGTCAGTGCCAAATCTATATAATCACACAACTGACAATAACACAATGTACAAATAAATAAATCAAAATATGAACATACTCTGTGTTGCTCAAACTTTCTGATAATGGTGAACATTTATTGGTACTGTCACCAATAGTCACTACAGGAACTTTGTACCCAAAATTGTCTCCCTTTACAGTGAGCAGAGTGCCTCCATCGGTAGGTCCTGACAATGGATAAATCTGAAATGTAGGCACTAAGTTATTTATAAACAAATCAGTCAGCACTGTAAGAATGGTATTTAATGCATAGATTTACAAAAGTTTGTACAATAACAATAGAACTATCCCTTTATCCCTACCAATTTCCTTGATGGACAAGGGAATAATTTTGTGGCTAAAAAAATACATATGAAAAGAAACTGTCACTGGTGAAAAGAATGAAAATACTGAACTGGTAATGGAATTAACAGATCTTTTAAAGATTAGATTAACTCTGAAACAAGTAACAACAAGCATTTGATAGTATTGCGGGCAATACAGTAGTCCCCTACCGGTCCCTCAAAAAGTTCTTTAATTGTCATACACTCCTGTGTATTGCCATTTATAATGAATTTGAGGATGAAGTCTGTATTTGAAAATATCAACCACAAAACATAATAAAATAAGTTTGTCTATATCACAGTAATGTGTTAAGTTTCCATGCTTAGTAAGGAAATTATGTTTATACAACCTTGTCATATTATTACGATGTGGGATTTTAAAGTAAATCCTATAAGGAATGAAGAAGTTGGAGTGAAAATACCAGTTTCTCGAAAAAAATTCAAGGGGGACATAATTCTGGAAATAGTCTTGCTAGAGTATTTAACCTTCTCAAAAATGTCGAGTGATAATAAGAAACATATATATGAAGTTTGAAGTAGATACATTAGGAAATAAAGAAGTTATTTAAAAAAGACAACATTTTTTATCATAAAAAATCTAAGTTCAAGGGAGGTAATATTGATATTTTTTATGCTAGAGTTATAAACCTTGTCACATATGATGTGGTTGATGACCAGGAACTTATATTTAAAGTTTGAAGTAAACACCTTAAGAAATAAAGAACATATAGTGAAAAAGCTGAAAAATTTAAATCAGAAATCTTGAAATTCAGGCTATTTGTTGCCATAGCAACCAGAATTTTCAACATAGGAAGAAAAGAAAAAGATGTGCATAATCTCCAGACTGCCATCTACCCATATTTCAAGTTTCATAAAAATATTTTCAGTACTTTTTGAGTTATCACTGGATCCAGTTTATGTGTTAAATTTGCCACATTTTCAGACTATTTGTTGCCATAGCAACCAGAATTTTCAACATAGGAAGAAAAAAAAAAGACGTGCATAATCTCCATACTGCCATCTATCCATATATCAAGTTTCATAAAAATATTTTCAGTACTTTTTGCGTTATCGCGGGATCCATTTTTGTGGACGGACGGACTGACGGACTGACAGACTGACAGACAGACAGACAGACAGACGGACAGACGGACGGAGGGTAAACCTAAAGTCCCCTCCGGTTAAACCGGTAGGGGACTAATAACTTTTTTCTAACCCTAATTGGGTCACGACCATGTTTCTTCATATGACACCAGTACTGGTTGGTTCTAGGAAGCAGACTAGAAAATGATTCATTATTTTATATAAGTTGCAAGAACTTGTTTCGCAATCTACTGGTCGGAGACCATCAACCGGACACTTTTGGAACATTTTTCCATACAGATTTCATAATTTTTAACCTAGAGACCAAAAAATTTGAAACAGTTCAGCTAGGTTCTTCTCCTAACTAATAAACTAGTTTGTTTATTTCTGATTGTATTGACATTTATACAAGGCTTGACAAGAAGGGTATCAAAATTACCTAAATTGTCTACGTGTCCGGACAGATATGTACATGACGTGATTTAATTCAGATAAAACCTTGGGCGTTTTGCTTTTTGATTTTTAACATGATATACAATATTTCAGCAACAAATGCTGAAGTTTAGGATATTCTATTATTCAATCTGTAAATGAATAAAGCTGGTATATGAGGTCAGGCATTGCTTTCTTGACCCCCAAATTTCAACGTCAACATTCTTGAAATAGACATTAAAATATTACCATTTACGGAGGTTGAAATAAATTTATTTACTTAGTTTTAAAAGGAACATGCACTTATTGTTGATAAAAAAGTGACTGACAACCACTGAACAAAGAAAATACTAAATTCAGCATTTTCGGGGCCGTCCGGGTTTGGTGGTTGTCTGGGTTTGGTGGTCCTCAACCAGTAGCTTAAATAAATATGTTTAAAACAATGAATTTCTTCACAAGGAACCAATTACCTCTGGTTGTGCCAATTAACTACACCAAACAGAAACACTGAAGTTAAGAAAAGGACATAAACAATATCAAATATGTCAAATTCTACAAAGAGTTGCATAACTTGGCCTACTGAGCTTACTTGCAGCCTTTCATGCATACATATTGTAAGTTTTAGGTATATATATTTGTTCTGATTTCAGAGATATCTAAAGAAAACCTGAATTAAAAAAAAATATCTGGTAAATTTAGAAAGAGATATTCATATATCATCATAATAAGAGTACCATTGTCATAAAATGCTAAAGCAACAAATTTTTATTTTTTTTCTATAAAGTAATGGTAAAATCCATCCATTCATGTTGATGATGTTCAACATATAATTCAGGACATTTCATCTTTTTGGGTGACCTTGACTTTGTATATATTGACCTGGATTATACTGGCTACCACTTAGTCTCATAATTGTGTATGTTTGTGATTTAACCCTTCAATTTAAGTCAACCAGACTTCTTACACACATTTCAATATTTTTAGCTCACCTTTGACCTCTTATGTGTGACCTTATGTGTGACATTGACTTTAATTATAGGGACTTTAATTTGGTGTGATGCTCTGCCTCAAGGTGGTGAACATTAAATTTTGTGCTAAGTTATATCAAAATCCTTTCATCCAGTCCACTATGGGTAATCTCATTGTACATCCAAATTTTTTTTTTTTAATCAATGCATATAAAAATCAAAGATGGCTAATTACACTTTATGGTTATCAACAAGTAAATTATTAAGTATTTCTAAAATGATAATGAATCATAGTTTCTGCATCAATCCTTATTTCATAGCCACTTACACTTACAATCAATACACAGTGAATCTTTTTTCCTACATAATTATATATCCACTTAAATAACACAAGTATATATATTTGATGAGCAGTTAATGGTATGACAATGTTTATGGTAAACTGTCACTGTAGCAATTATAGTTTATTAATAATTTATTAGGTAGACATAAATTTTCAACCTTATTTTCCCATCCTTTTGGATTTGCTGCTTTGGAATTTGTATCATGGTAAGGTAAATTGATAGGGACAAAATTCACCACAACAGCTTAATTGTAAATTTTGATTTATTATAAAAAAAACTTTTTAGAACGAGACCACCAGAGCGGTGTAATACATGTATAAGCTTGACTGTAAATTTGTTTGAGTAATCAAAAATAACCTTTCAATTAGGGTAAAGACCCAATCAAGAAACTTGTCGGAAAAATGTTTATATTTAATATCATTATGATACTAAATGACCTCCAAGGTGGAGGTATTTTTTACCCTAAATGCATGATTCATAAAACTTCTATAGAGGTAGACTAGGCAATGCTATATGCCAAATATACAAGCATAGTATTTATCCACAAAAATATAATTTGTTTAGACTTATATCTTAGTCTAGTTAAAGCAAGATACTCCCGGGGCAGGGCCAATTTTGACCTGAGGGTTATGATAAATATGAGCCGCGTCACGACAAAACCAACATAGTGCGTTTTCGACCAGCATGGATCCAGACCAGCCTGCGCATCCGTGCAGTCTGATCAGGATCCATGCTGTTCGCTTACCAACACTATTACAAGTAGAGAAATTGATAGTGAACAGCATGGATCCTGATCAGACTGCGCGGACGCGCATGCTGGTCTGGATTCAGGCTGGTCGCAAATGCACTATGTTGGTTTTGTTGTGACGCGGCTCATATAACTTTTGTAGAAATCTACAAACTGATTCCACATGCTTAATATCTCAGCTCTTGGCTTTGAAGTATCACATAATTAAACAAATGTGTTTTCTAATTTTGACCCCAGTGGCATGATTAGTATCAATTTTGTAGACATTCACAAGGTAATGCTACATTGTACATGCTACATATCATAGCTCTTTTTGTCATTGTAATTTCACAAAATAAGACTGAAATGTGATTTCTCATACAAGACTATGTCAACTAAGTGACTCCCTGAGATAGATGTACGGACAACCAGGTTCATGATATTATATGCCGAAATTAAAACCACACAAAAAATATTTTTCAATTTCATCCTCAGTACATTTCTTTATTATCTATATGATATTTTCCTGGTTTAAGGACCCCAATTGATTTATGTAAAAGACTTTCAAATATTGTGTTTTAAGACCTCTAGACATCAACAGAGCTCCTTTTAAGTATAGAATATTAAAAGATCTTAAACTAACAGAGAAAATTACTACAATTAGAATAATAGAATGCTAAAACCCAGATTGGTTTTGGCCGTCTATAATTACAGGTTCACAAATACTTACTGATGTAATAATTGGTTCACAAGTTAGTGGTGAAAACTCAACATTCGGATCCACACACTCATCCCGTTTACTACAATGATTGCCACACCAACCGCAACCCTGCGGGTCCCGGGAGCTCACGCAGCTTGAACATTTATCATACACAGCACAGGAGTTGAGTGGGAACCGAGAAATCTAAAAAGAGACAAATTTAGCATATTATTAATATAATGACTCTCACAGCACAGATAACTTACATATCTTATATAAACAGTACAGAACCTGTCAAGTCTGACTTTTGTTCATTCTGACCAGACCATACAACTTCAATTAAGAAATATCTACTTCAAACTCTGAACCAATCTTGAGTCCAGGGTGGCAGGTTACAAAGAAATCATCTAAGCTCAAACTCAGATCTCAAGTATTTGATTTGTCAGAAACTGTCACTGAATGGTCACTGAACTGAGATTTGAGACAGAACTCAGAAAAATGACTGGTCTTTTTCTAATCGATCTCAATGGTCACACTTTAAACCCATTCAATGCCTTGTTTACTTTTTACTTCCTTTTTTTTTTTTTGGTTGGGTTGGGTTTATGTACACCAGAACATCAACTTTCCAACTTATTGGTGGAGAAAACCTCAGATACCCCTTTGTGTATTATATCAGGAATGACGTGGCACCAGAGTAGAACCATTAATATTCCATTTAGTGAGCTGGATGGCTTCCTCACATGAAAAAATCTGAAGTCCTTGCTGGAATTTAAACCTACATTGGTGACAGGCAAGTGGCTTGAAGTCAACAAACTAAACAACATGGTCACTGACACCTCCCAATGCCAAATGTTGGTCTTTTTCTTCCCTCTCATTTACAAAAATATTGCTACAACTAAAGCTAGCATGCATTATACCAAAACATGAACTGACCTACTTATAATCCAGAAAATTTAAGATTATATAGCCATATCCAGATCAATGCTCCCCCATCTCGGAAAGAGTGTGCAATGCATTGAACACTCAATTAAACTGAGAATGCAATATTTTCAATTTTACCATTTTGGGCTTTCTTTAGAGATTTTATTTTTTACATCTTTTTAAAATTACTAATGTTTAACATAAAACAAAGAAAGTGACAGACACTTAACCATTTCATATGAAAGCCTTTCAAGAAAGGTCCTCACACATCAAATACATGTACATTTATCAAAAATATCATCACATGAAATAATTGTACATTACATTACAACACTTGTACATTAATCCAAGATATCAGGTCATCAATTAAGATGCTGTAAGACTGTTTGTTTGTTTGTTTGATTGATTGGCGCCCAAACACAATTTAGGTCATACAGTGCCAAAACAGGCAGTGATTTTGACTAACCTCAAGTGTATCAAACTTAAAGCAACACCAGCGGTCAAAATCACCTCACCTGCTGGAGCTAAGAGATGCATAGACCCCAGTAATTCAATCATACCCATTCAGTCGCCTCTTATGATCATGCAGGGTTTAACGGTGGATGCAATTTTGATGCCACAACGGGTAAAGGCAATCCCTGAGCCACAATGGGCTAGATGCTGTAAATAACTGTAGATAAGTGTGACAGATGAATTGATGGAACAACAAACCACCAATTGCATACTTGACTGCAACATCTTTGTGGAGGATTAAAATGGATAGTGGCAATGGGTTAAATAAGTGAATGGCCCACCTTATTGCCAGACATAGCATAGACATACTCCTCTTTAGCATCCATCCTCATATCCTGAAGTATTGGCCCGTCACTTAGTTTATAACGCATATAAGGTTTGTTACTCCCACAAAAATCTGCCTTTAGACTTGTCTGCAATAAAGAAAAAAACATCAAACACTCAAAACAGTTCCTTTAATTGTGATGTAACAGGGAAAAAAAAGAAATAAAGCAGACAAATTGTTGAAGATTCTTTTTTCTTCTAGCTTATTTTTTATTTAATTCTGAGCATAAATCTGAATTTAATGTTATTACACAAGTACATGATGAAATCATTAACTCAAAAAGTGAAATATAATTCATATTTTCATCAGTCTAAGTTCTAACACTACTGAGATATATACATCTAACACAACACATTACAACTTAAAGGGGCTCCAAAGAGCTAATTTGAGGGACTGGAAATATTTTTTTTTTCATTTTATGAAGAATCTGATATTTAGGTATGTGCAAAAAATTCAGATCAATTGCTTACTCTATGCTAAAAACTTTATTTGTTTAAAATGGCTCAAAAGTGGAAAGATTTAAAAACTTTTAACTCACATCTTTTCATTTTACATGATTAGTCTGTCCAAGTTGATTTATATGAAAGAAATTCAAACTTTATATGTATACAGTGGAGTTTCTTTAAGCTAATGCATTTTGACGTCAATTGTGCTGATTTTTTTTCTAAGAAAATGCTGATTTTATTAAGACAAGATCTGCAGTAAAAAATCTTGGTGCACAAACATAATATTGTAATGTTATCTGAATCATAGCCTGAGTGCCCACATTATAGTATAAATCACATGGCAACTAATTTCAAATTTACTAGTTACGAAAGACTTTAATATGACATATTTTTTGCATATAGGGCTATAAAATATTTTATTCAATAAATTCCTCAACAATTTTAGATCTTGGCTGCAAGCAACTCATATAGCAGATTCTAATCTATGAAATATTGTTTGATTAGTTTTTTAATATAACTTTTTTTCTAAAAATTCCTGCACCATTAGTAATTGTGATTCACATAACAACTAAAGCAAACACCACCACATTGCAACAAGATATAAAAATAATAATTTTAGATAAATATTGAAGCAAATAAAATCTAGCAAGCATCTGAAAAACATAAACTACTACTATGAGTAATAATAATGTCACCTTAGTGGAGTAACGAGTTAACTCCTTATATAATTTAATTAGAGATAACCAATTACTCCACTTAGATGACATTACATTGGTACTCCATTATAAAGCTCATATTGAAGCCCCCACAGGGTCTTAACCTGCGAAATAAACGGGGTTTTGACACATAACGGTCACCTGTTGATAAATTGTTTTGGGCCTGCAATATTAAAGATATGAACAGGGTTTTGATACATTTTTTACATAATGCTCAGCTGTTGATAGATTGTTCAGGACCTGAGATATTAAAGATATAATTAAATTGGGGGTTTTGAATCGATACATTACGCTCATCTAACTGTTGATGATTTTTTCTGACAGGCAGCTGAAACCCCTGTGCTAATGGGGTTAGCTTTATATAGTGACACAGTATAATGTTCAACATTTTTTTTAATCGTGGCTATTTTTTTTTAATTTGGAAATTTTAACTTGGTAATCATATCAAAATAACAGAAGTTTCACAAGCCTTTTCACTCACTTTTTAATTTACCTTTTTTACATGAAACATAAAGTCATGTTTTACATAAAAATGCCATGCATGCCTAAAAAAGTTGAACTTGGTGATAAATTCACACATTTTAGGGCTAAATTTGGATTTTCCAACAGTTTTTTTTTTCAGGAAGTTTAGAAATACTGAACAATTGCAACAAAAAAATAAGTGTTTATCATAACTGCTGTGACAGTGACATCATCACCTTACTGGTAGTCATTTCATTTTTTTAAGAGGGGGGGGAGGGAGGTTTGGTATAACAGTGGTAATGACAAACACTTTTACAAACCTCAAAGTATTAGTATCACAAACTATATTTTATATTTATAGTATCATTAGTTTACAAATACTGAAAATCTGTAACATGTATGTAAGAATAAAATAATAATATGACTCACGCACTCAAAATAATATTAAAATATTATAATATTTAAAAAACAACAACACACAAACACAAACCAATCACATTTAAACAAAGCATTTCACATTTGAATCATGGGTGAAATTTTATCTAATATGACATGTAGGTCATATTAAAAATGCCATTGAAACATTGTGATAATTTGATTTTTTTTTATTCTTCTATAATAGTTTTAAAACATAATGTAAGCCTAAGTATGTTTTGAATGTTAAAAGCTTTTAATTGATAGTAACTGTCAGGAATAGATTTACATGGAGACCCCCTGGTCTAACCCCCAAGTGACCAAGTCCAGAAATGCATTCAGTAGTACAAAATTGTAAACAAAAGCAAATGAAGCGTGCAAATAAAAATATTAGTATATATAAATTATTAAAATCCTATCAATTAGTCAAAACCATTATAAAAATAAAAAATACAAAAATACTAACAGATGTTTCATTTCCAACTAGGCTCTGAAATAATGAAGGAATAATCCAAGACTGAAATTAATCTTGATTAAAAAACAACATTCTATAACACCACATATCGGTCATAACGGGGAACCAATATTCTATAAAACCATATATCAGTCTTAATTGGTAACCAATATTCCATAAGACTGCATATCAGTCTTAATGGACAACCAATATTCCATAAGACAGTAAACCAATCTAAATGGGCTACCGATATTCTATAAGAGTGCATATCAGTCTTAATTGGGCACCAATATTCTATAAGAATGTATATCAGTCTTAAAGGGGAAGCAATATTCCATAAGACTGCATATTAGTCTTAATGGGCAATCAATATTCTATAGGACCGCATATCAGTCTTAATGGGCAAGCCATTATCATTATTCTATAAGACTGCATGTAAGTCTAAATGAGCAACTAATATTCCATAAGACTGCATATCAGTCTTAATGGGCAACCAATATTCTATAAGACTAAAAATATATATCTTATTGAGCAACCAGAATTCTATGAGACCGCATATTGATCTTTATGGGCAACTTATATTCTGTAAGACCACAAAAATGGGAAAACAATTTTATTTTTAATAGACGGTAGAATACTTTTAATTGGCAACTGATATTGTTTAAGACCATATATCAATCTTTATGGGCAATCAATATTCTATAAGACGGCATATCAATCTAAATGGGTGACCAATGTTAGACCGCATACCAGTCTATAGGACCACATTTTAGTGTAAATGCTCAACTATCATCCTAAAAAAAAAAAAAAAAACTTATACATCAAACCAACACAGTATAGGTCATTTTAATTGCAACGTTCCAGCTTAACTGCTGGAGGAAGATGGGCACCAGAGTAGAATCACAGATGTTCAGATGCGCAGGCTGGTCTGGATCCATGCTGGTCGCAAACCCATTATGTTGGTTTTGTCATGGCGCAGCTCAAATGACCATTAGACTCAATGTCTGAGATCAACTGATATGGAGAAATTATGTCCCTCCCTAGAATCGAATCAGTTACCCCATCAATACTAATAGATGCTCTCAAAATTGTGCTATGAGGCAGGTCAAAATGACAATTAAGTCCTTCATTGATACTTCAGTTTAACCATTTAAACATAACACAAGAGACAGCGAAGCTCAACTAATTAAAAACTGGACACAGTAAGGAAGACAAAACTATGAAAGAAAAATCAATTATGATATCAATATATTTCTTCTTATGACAAGGAGTTGTAGTTGTTAACATAAAACCCATGTTCAAGGGGGAATAATTCTGGAAATAGTCACAATAGAGTTATGGACCTTGTCACACAACATTTGTGTAATGATAAGAAATATATATTTGAAGTTTGAAAAATATACCTTAAAAAGTAAAGAGGTTATTTCTTAAAGAAAAATCTAGAAATATTGCTTCAAGAGTTATGAACCTTGTCACATAAGAACTGGTCGATGAAAAAGAATTAAAAGAAGTTGTAGTATAAAAATAACATTTTTTCAAGTAAAAAAATCTAAGTCAATGGGGAGATAATTGTTGCAATATTGGTGCTAGAGTTATGACCCTTGCCACATAAGATGTTGTTAATTATAAGGAACATAATTATATTTGAAGTATACGGTTGATCCCTTGATTAATAAAGAAGAAACAGTAAAAAAATATTTTCTAAGGAAAGTTCAAGGGGAGATAAATCTGAAACTATTGGTGCTAGAGTTTGAACCTTGTCATATAAGATGTGGTTGATGGTAAGGGACATATACAGGTATTTGAAGTTTAAAATTGATACCTTAAGAAATGAAAAAGTTATTGTAAAAAAATAATATTTTTTAAGGAAAATTCTAAGTTCAAGGGGAAATAAATCTGAAAATATTGGTGCTACAGTTAAGAACCTTGAAACATAAGATGTGGTTGATAATAAGGAACATATATTTGAAGTCTGACATTGATACCTTAAAAAATGAAAATTTTAGTAAAAAATATTATTATTCAAGGAAAAATTCTAAGTTCAAGGGGAGATAAATCTAAAAATATAAGTGCTAGAGTTATGAACCTTGTCACATAAGATGTGGTTGATGATAAGGAACATATATTTGAAGTATGAAGTTGATACCTTAGGAAATGAAAAAGTTAATATAGTAAAAAATAATATTTTTTTAGAAAAATTCTAAGTTCAAGGGGAGATAATCTAAAAATATTGGTGCTGTAGTTATGAACCTTGTCACATAAGATGTGGTTGATGATAAGGAACATATATTTGAAGTCTGAAGTGGATACCTTAACCCTTTCCCCCATAAGCATATTGTGAAAAATGGCTGTTTTCACTGACAAGCCTCCTCTTACAAGTTCAAACTGCTATGAAACTATGAAAAATGCTTCAATACTAATCAAACTTGGCACAAATGTTGACTGGACCATTGCCTTTGTAACGACATGCTCAGTCTTAAATTTCCTGTTACCATGGCAACGAGGGGACATCTCAAAATTGCCAAAAATCACTATTTTGCCCCGATTTTTTCCATCAAAATTTATTTCAAAGTGCTGCAACTTCTCAAGGGATTGAGATAGAGTCAAAGGCATTTCAGCGTTGACACGTTACATTATGATTGACCTGGGGTCATTTTTAGCCTCTCACAAGTCCAAAATTTTCTTGGCGATGAAGGGGACTCCGCCCCCCTTCAAACCCCCCTAACAGAAGGGGGCACATCCCCCTTCTGGCAACCCCCTGATGTATCTTTTGGATGGGGGGCGGCGCCAAAAAAGTGCGCAATTTTTTTAGCAACATTTCTCAAAGGCAAACATGTGTTTGGGGCCCAAATAGGACATTTTTCACTATTTAAGGCCTAAAAAAGGGGGGGGGGGGTCGAAAGTGCGTTGTTTCGCGTATATATGAGGTAAAGAGTTAAATGAAAAAGTTATAGTGAAAAATATTTTACTGCACCAAAACTTTAATCTGAAATCTGGACGCAGACGCGAGTAGGACAGCTCTCCATATAATTTGTATAGTCGAGCTAAGAATGAGAAATGATAAAAATATGTTAAACTGCATTGAGCAAAGAAGTAACTTTCCCAATGTCATTTGCTTTACTGTTGTATTATGCTGTGTTTATATTTTGTAATAATGCACACAACAGCCCCATCAGTTTAATAGGGAAATAATCATAATATGCTCTTTAATATATATTTCCCAAAGACAAAAAAGATACAATCATGTAATTAAACTATTCCACAAGTCCATACTGTAGCTTTAAATAAAATTCAAACGAAAAAATTTTGCTTATGTGACTAATGTAATGGAAAGGGTGTAGGAACAAAAAGCCTGTATATATTACGTGCCATTTTACCTTTATTAATTGGCCATCAGATGTTCCAAGGACTGCTATTGGATGATTACTTTGATTGGTCAGAACCAATGATGTGATCATTTTGTCAACACATATATCTGCATGTGCAACAAACACCGAATCTATGTCTGTACCTCCTGTCAGCCCACTCTTCAGCTGTTGTTTATCATACCAACACATCTGGTCATTTTTTGTCTGTAAAGATTGAAATATTACAATGTGTAACAGCGCTTTCATTCACTTCCAAAATTTGGAAGTGAATTACAGAAAATTTCTGACATTGGAAGTCATATTTACTATTTATTTACAGTAATGATTTAAATGAAGAGGGAAAAGCATTTTATCTTGGAAGTTACAGGCCAAAAACAGGAGTAAAAGACTCCCAAACTGCCATTAATGTTGATGATAAATGGAAGCCCTGGCTTAATCCTTCCTTTATTAAAGGTTTACTATCTAATTTAGTAAATGAGTATGTCAAGCTTTAATTTTGGAATTGGACATGACTCAGAACTTTGTTAGTTAATGAGCCTTTGAAAAATTAATAAACCTCAATTAACCTCACTAATTGCCCACACTACTGCAAACCATGTTTAAACTTAAACCTGCTTGTACATTTTGTATGCTGTACCATCTTCACAGCAGCCAGTTCTGATATGGCAAAAATCAGGGATTTATAAGTAATTTAGATTTGTGCTAGTTAGTAGAATAAAACCATTGTTGTAAATGCCTATATCTCCTTTGTAAGTTACCATTGTTTCATACTCAGTTCTCAACACACAAGTTACCAAAACTTTTTTACTTGCACAAGAAATGTTTACTTTCACAAGAAATTTTTACTTCCAAAAGAAATTTTTGTCTGCAAAAACAGAACTGAAACAGCCATTAAATGACATATTATACCTTGGCATATGTGTACATTGGCAATAAGTCATAATACTTTTTATAGTTCTGCTATTGAATTTAAATGTATATGATTTTAATTTATTTGTTTCTGTATATTTGAGTAAACTGTAATCAATTGTTGAAGTTCATTTGTATTATTAAAGATACATATAATCAATTTTGCTATAATTCATTCTTATTCCTATAAAAAATAGTTTTAATCAGTTTGTGGATTTCAACACAATATAGTGAGTATTAAGAAACAACATGTAAATGTACTACAACTTTCAGTTTTTGCACTTGTATTCAGCCAGATTGCTAGTTTTAAAGCTGCACCCCTCCAGATGAGCCAAAAATTTCAAGAAAATCAATACTGAGAAAAAAACATTTCAAGAAAGGTAAAAACATTCAAGATCCAAGTTAAATTTAACACATGTACATATAGGCAGTAAAAGGCTGATTTTTGGTATTTTATCACCATATTTCTACTGTTACGAAGCAGTAAGGGCTTTTTTTTGCACATGTTGACCACTTTTTGGTAATTTTCTTGGATTATAAGTGCCAATTGCAATTTGTTAATTACTTTATTTGTTCACCACTCAATATTGTACTTTTAAATACATTTCTAAAATTTTTCATGAAAATTGACAATAATCTGGAGGCATGCTGCTTTAAGTAAAGAAATCATCAGATCATCTCAAATCTGCTTACAAAATATGAATCACTTTCAATTTGTAAGTAAACACTCACCGTCCTTGTGATCGTACATGTCTGAGAAGTACCGTGAACCCACCATGGGTATGACCCTACTCCACCATTGTAACAATGAAACTGCAAATAGGAGAAATGGATCCTTGCATCCGACATAGAATATCTACACACAACTGTTCCATAATTGGGATCAGGCTCACTAGATACTACATTTCCAGGATGTCCAAAACTGATGGCTAAATAATCGTTGGTTTCCCCCATAATCAATATAGGCGGCTGTCGCTAAAGTGTAATCAAAGGATTCATGTTTACATACAATCACCGATTCTATGTAAGTCCCATAGAATCTATCATTCTAAACAAAATTGAATAAGCCTAGTTACGTACTTGGTTTTTGCAAGGTCTGAAGAGATAGGTTGTATTGAGACATAATACCCATAACCGTTTAATTCAAAGCCATAAATATATTTGGTTACGAAATTTGGATTGCCCATGGGCGGATAAACACTTAAGAAACTGTAGTCATCCAATTCTCTATCATTTTCCAAGTATTTAATACTCTTATGTGTTGAATTGTAAACTATTTCCCTTGTCGAGATGGTCATCGGTGTAAATTTTTCTTCAGTTCGGTCATAAGTGGACACTGCTGCATACAACATACGTCTATCCGTGTCTATACCTTTTGGCGGTCTGCCAAAAAAGGCAACTGAAGATACTTTACTGCCAACAAATGAGGCATGATCGGTTACGTTGAGATCATCAGCAATGTTAAAAATCTGACAAATGAATAAATACTGCATAACCCTTGCTTTATTGTCCCGCATGCTAACAGGTAGCCATGAATCTTATTGATGGCAAGAACATTTATTGTATTTGAAACCCTGGGACCTTTGAAATTTACAAGGCGCTGGTTTTCCAAAAACATTTATCAGAGTCGAATTCTTTCCCAACAGATTTTTTCTGCTGCTGTGTCAATTTTACTATCAAGACGAATCAAAATATTTTCTCCTCCAATATAAAGCATGTGACTTTTATCGTCTATTAATAACTTTGAAAGGTTTCCAGAAGCTGTATATTCTTCTAAAACAAGAGTGTTGCACCCAATTTGACAAATAACTATGAGCACATAGGTGAAAATATAACAAGTTCCTGTTCTAGCCATTGTCATTGCAAATCTTCAAAAAAATTATTGAGAGTTACAGAACTTCTTGTTACGCCATAACACCTTGATAACTTGAAGACTCCTTACCAATCCTGCAAAATATCAATGAATTGATGTGATAAAAGTTTGTTTTCATAATAACAGAATAATTGTAAAATATTATATGGAATCATGGAAATATGGAACCCTGGCAATATGGTTATTTCTTTTAAATTTTAAAAGGTAAGAAATAACTTAAACGCTTGTGAATGAAAATCTTAACATATACGTTTAAACGTGTAACCATGAGGCCCTATAAGTATATCGCCAGATTAGTGGATGATGCACTTATATGTGTATGATGCACAAATTAGCATATATTTGATGATGCACCATTTGGTGTTCCAATCTATCCATAACTCCATCTCTGAAAACTGCCAGCCCCTCAAGTCAGTGTTTCAGGAAGGAATAAGGAGCATGTCGGATTGTTAGTAAAACTAAAAGGTGACAGAAAAGGAATCCGGGTCAGCTCGGCCCTTAAACGTACTCGGCCCCCGAGTCAGCTCGGCCCTATTCCAACTCGGCACGGCTCAACTCGGCCCACTTTTCGATTATTAATATTTAGGTTTGTGTTAGATCTATCACTATTTATTGTAATTATTTATAATACACAGGGTTCTCACTAGGACTTTAAAACATCGAGTCCATGGACTCTCAAACCTGAAAAAGTTGAAGTCCAAAGGCGCGTCGCAATAAATATGTTTACAGTGCTCAAAATAGCATTGCTGATATTTTGAATCTTCAAGAGACTTTCAAAGTTTATAGTTATTCAAAACAAACTCTGAACTACATAGTATAATTATTGTTTTGTTTTTAATATTTTTCATGAAATTATTTCATTATAATGCATCAACACATGGACATCGTTTTTTTTTTGTTTTTTTTTTCTCCACTTTTATACCAAATCAAATTTTATTCTGGTTAAATAAGTCCACTCTAAAGACAAAAAGTTTTTATTTGTAAAAAAAAAACGTAAATGTATATAGGCAGCGTTTAGCGGAATGAATAGGAAAATCGTGTACAGCTTCACAGTGTGTAAGAGATGTATCCGATCGACAATTATTTTAGCAAATATCTTCAAAAGGGGGCAAATTGAAGATCGATATTTAAAGATTTAATGCTGATTAAATAATAAAGGAACAATTCATTCACATGTTTGGCTTGGAAACTGAGAATTTTTGCGAAATTTTAGTCTAGAAAATGCCGAAAATTTCGACAATAATTCAAAATTACACTCATTTGTAATTTTAGAAAACAGTCTTTAAACTTGCGGCGTAAATAGTCGATATTTTTATCCCTTTGTCGGTAAAATTTGCTCATTTCCAATCACCTGTTGATCAAAGATATTAAATTATCACCTCGTGTTATATCTGGTAATTACATGTACAGCGCGTGTATACATTAGTCTGATCTCTATTGCATGATAATGATCGAAAGTGTTATTGCTGATTGGCTAATCGCTTCACGGGTCGATGTGCATAGGACCGCCTACCTATAGACTGACACGCGCTGACGTATTTGTGTATTTGTGGTTGTAAACAATCGGTAATGTTGATGCGTCCCCAGGCAAAATTAAGCGTACATGGAATCCTTGCTCTGAAATATTAGCGTCCAGCTGTAATACGGGGAAGTCAAAGACCGGGCCCGCGAAGCGGGTCCGGGCTTTGGCTTGCCTGGCTATAGACTACACGTGTATATTTAAAAGAAAATCAAATAAAAAATAATTAAAAAATATATAGAATTCTATACCTATCAATGAAATTTTCAGTGTCAGTTCTAGTCGGCACCGCCATTTACAATGTAACTCAATGATAAAAGGCGGGGTATTCCGATAACGGAACAAATCTCAACTTTTCGGATAAATAATAAACGTCGAGTGTTCCGAGTGAAAACGGAAGCGGTGCATGTAATACCGAATGACAATTTTAAAACGGAAAGAATAAAAGGAATTTTTTAACGACTTCCCTTTAAGTCCCTTTAACGGCTTTGCCTAATTTCATATTAAACATGCGTACCGGGACGCCAAAATAAGCGTCCCCAAGAACCCTGATACACGGATTGACAGTTTCCGAACTAGCAGCAGACAGGCTTTTCTTATCAGTAGAATTGTGAGTAAAGATAACCGATTGCATATCTCACTGTATTTCTGACTTGTGGTAGGTTTAACTGTAAATTTAAAGGCAATCTCCTGGATTAGACCCCTATTTATTTTTCAGGAGTAAAACTTGTATGTAATACACTAAAGAAAATGGAATGAACCTTATTTATACTGCTGGTTTAGACCCCGGGGTCTAATCCAGGAGGATATAGCCGCCAGAACAATTTGTTTCTTGTTTTTGTTTTTAATCAGTTAATGACAATAATGTTATGCTTATTTAACGCTTCTTTAACAAATAAAGAGAAGGTCTACCAATGTACTATTGCAACCTAATAATTTTATATATATAACACCATAAAAGCTTTATTCAATCAGATGGATACCTTTCAAAATTATATTGAAAAATCCACTTTTATTTCTAACATTCCACTTCCGCCTTTCCTTCTGTGGTTATCTGCCCTCTTTTTCCCAATAAAATCCGTAAGTGGGTATCCGGTATCCGTTTTACTACGGAGACGGCCCACTGAATTTTCGTACTATATAATTATCCTATAGTAAGTCTATCACATTTAAGGCTAAATTCTGGACGTAGCATATACTGTATGGTACCGGAATTTCATGGCCATTTCTTTAAACACCAATGCAGTCCATGTAATTTAGCACAAAGAAATAATACATTAGCCCTTGGAGTTTTTCTGCAGCCTTTAACTTCTGTAATCACTATAGAATATTCGAAATAGTAACTGGTGTGTTTTCTTGTGCATAGTACCTCCTGAAACCTTCCACCCAAAAATGAAATCCTGCAAAAATACATCAAAGACAACCTTTAAAGTACTCAGAAATGAAACTTCATGTACACAATTACATGAAATAAATCAAATATGACCAGTATTAATTGTGATAACTTGAAATAGGCCATTTAAAAATTTAAAAGAACTATTTTCTAGTCTACAATGGGCTGGGTCTATTTATGTACCGGATGAAACCCTACGTTGTCCCGCCCATTGCAATTTCGTACTATTTGTATAGTAAATCAGTCACATTTGAGGCTGAATTCTGGATTCCACCTGAATTCCACTCTTCTTGGTGAATTATCGATACATACTGTCTTTAATTTAAACATCAACTCTATTTAAGTCAAAGAAAGCCCGAAATATATGTTGGCCATATACTTTTTTCAGAAATCTTCATTATGTTTTAAAACTTTTTAATTTCACCTCTTTCAAAACTCCTGACTGCTGGTGGGTAGTACATCTTTTATCCTTCCGCCAACAAATGAATCATAATGACATCTGCAGATAATGTTGCTGACATTATTCTTAAAATTTAATCAAATTAGTGGTAAATATAATTACAACAATTTAAAAGCATCAAAATTTCATCAAATTGGTAGTAATTAATTATAACAATCTAAAACAAGATCCTTAAATTTTAAAATGATTTTTTAATTGTTATAACCACAGATCTTATATTTAGCTCCATGTTATAACTTGTGTATGCAGATGGAAACATTTGTTACTACATCTGTAACTTTAATCGCTCTTCAAAAACAGAATTTTTATTTTGTATTATTTTTCAATTGATACAAAAGTCCACTGTTTAAAGTATACCGGTCCTACTAAACACTGCTAAGGACTGCTAAGGACCGCTAAGGACTGCTAAGGACTGCTAAGGAGCCACAAAGGACTACTAAAGAGGCACAAAGGACCTTAAAATACCTCCTAGGCCATTCTTATATTACATGGTATTATTTTTAGTGAAAAAAAATTATAATTTTAAGAAAAAATATGATTTTGGTGAAAATTTTATGAGTTGTCGGACCGCTAAGGACGGCTCAGATACACAAAAGACTGCTAGGGAGGCACAAAGGACCTTAAAATACCACCTAGGGCATTCTTATAATACAAGGTAGTATGTTTAGTGACAAAAAATGTATTATTTTAAGAAAAAATATCATTTTAGTGATAAAATTTATGTTTTTGAAGAGTTGTCGGACCGCTAAGGACTGCTCAGGTGCACTAACAACTGCTAGGGAGGCACAAAGGACCTTCAAATCCCTCCTAGAACATTCTTATAATATATGGTAGTAAGTTAATAGACAAAAATGTATTATTGTAAGAAAAAAATATAATTTTGGTGATAGAATTTATGCTTTCGATGAGTTGCAGGACCGCTAAGGACTGCTCAGGTGCGAAAAGGACTGCTAGGCAGACACAAAGACCTATAAATATTTCCTAGGGAGGCACAAAGGACCTTAAAATAACTGTTGGGGCATTCTTATAATTCATGGTAGTATGTTTAGTGACAAAAAATGTATAATTTTAAGGAAAAATATCATTATAGTGATAAAAATTTTTTAAAATTCATGTTTTTGAAGAGTTGTCGGACCGCTAAGGACTGCTCAGGTGCACTAACAACTGCTAGGGAGGCACAAAGGACCTTCAAATCCCTCCTAGAACATTCTTATAA